GACCACCAATGGCACCTCGTCCCCAACCAACAATGGCACCTCGTCCCCAACCACAAATGGCACCTTGTCCCCAAGCACCACAGGCACCTCGTCCCCCACCAGCAGCCCCGCCAGCCACAGCGCCAGGACCGCCACCAGCACCACTAACCACAGCGTGGAGACTGCCACCTCCTCCGATCATAAGACTTCTCCCCAGGTGTCCATTAGGATCTCCTTTTTCTTCCTGTCCTTTTCCATTTCGAACCTCCAGTTTAACTCTTGTCTGGAAGATCCCAACACCAGCTACTACCAGCAACTGCAGAGAAACATTTCCGAGTGGGTGAGTGGCTACCCTTTCTCTGCTCTGCCCCCCCAGCGGCAGCCCCCCAGCGGGCTGAATGGTTGGCATCAGGCCTTAGCCCTTCCCTTCTCACCCCAGTTTTTGCAGAGTTATAAACAGGAGGATTTTCTGGGTCTCTCTAACATCAAGTTCAGGTACAGTTCTGGGTGTGGGCCCTGCGAGGAGGGCGGAAGTTGCCGTGACTGTGGTGAGGGCTGGCGCACTCGCAGCTGGGGGATTGCCGGTCCAGAAGCCGCCACTCCCGGCTGAGTTGCCCTTTCCCTGTGACCAGGCCAGGCTCCGTGGTGGTGGAAGCCATCCTGGCCTTCCGACAGGGCACCACCAGCGCCCTCGACGTGAAGGCACAGCTTGAAGAGCACAAGGCAGAAGCAGCAGAGAAATACGGCCTGTCCATCTCGAGTGTCAGGGGTGAGGCCGCCGCCCCCAGGGCCCCTCCGTCCCACCCCAGGGCTCCAGCTCTTCCCCAGGGAACTGGTGGGGGAGGGTCGCTTCTGTCGGGAGAATATTCTGATCGCTGCTCTTCCTTTCAGCACGAGACTCGTCAGACGCCTCGATTCCTCCCTTTGTTCAGTCTGGGCCGGGGGTTCCTGGCTGGGGCATCGCCTTGCTGGTGCTGGTCTGCGTCCTGCTGGCGCTGGCCGTCGTCTACTTCCTCGTCCTGGTAAGTGCGTGGCCTCCCGCCCTGGCCGGAGCTGCCCGGCTGGAAGGAACCCCACGCCCCCCCCCCAAATCCTGTTTCTCCAGACCGTGTGTCAGTGCCGCCGAAAGAACTGTGGGCAGCTGGACCTCTTTGCAACCCGCGATGCCTACCACCCTATGAGCGAGTACCCCACCTACCACACCCACGGGCGCTACGTGCCCCCCGGCAGCACCAGGCGCAGCCCCTACGAGGAGGTGAGGCCGGGCCTCACGGTGCTGGGCTGGCGAGGGGGTGCTGGAAGGCTGCTCGCAAAGCCCAGAGAACTTAGGCGAAGGAAACGGTGGTGCAAAGGAAGGGAAGGAAGCGGCACAGGGCCTGGAGAGCACGGGGTCAGAGGGCAGAGGCCGCCTTGGGAGGAAGGGGACTCCCAGAGAGTGTCCCCACTACCAGCCTTTCCGAGGCAGCATTCGCTGCTCTGCTGAATGGGGATCCCAGACATGAAACGGGTGAGGCGCCATGTCCAGGGGGGCCCTTGCTGCGGGGACTCACAAAGGAAGGAGCCCCCCGTGCCCCACGTGGCTCCTAAGAGTAGAGGGCAGATTGGGAAAGGCTGGCAGGAAGGGGGGGGTGAGAAGTCTCATCAGGAGCGCCCTGGGCTTCTTGGCGTCTTGGGAAGCAAGGACCCCTCCTCCTCCTCTCCTGGCTTCCTCTCCAGGACCTAGTCAATAATTACTCCGGCCACCGGGGCTGGAAGGCCACTCCAGGTGGGGGAGGGGAGTTTCCTTTCTTGACCCCGGTTTCCTTCCCCAAGGGACTTCCTTCTCCCAGTTGGACAGAGACACACAGACACCTGCTGGGGCGGGAGGAACAGGGATGGAAGGAGAAGGGGGCAGTCGGGGAGGGCAGAGGGGCTGCTGGGAGCCAAGGGAGGGGGTGAAGGGGAGGGAGAGGGAGGAGGAGCAGGCCCCTGTTTACAGTCCCCGGGCTGGGCTGCCCTGGTTCCTGGCAGGTGCTCTTCCAATTAACCCTTTGAGAGTTAGTCTCTGGACCTATTTCCTCGGCCTGGAGTGTGACCCAGGAGCCCCAGGGAGGCCCTTTCTCAGCCTCGTCCCCTCCCCCACCTAGGTGTCTCCAGGCAACGGCGGGGGCAGCCTGGCCTACACGAACCCCGCAGCCACCTCTGCCGACTTGTAGGGGCGCGCTCCCTCTCCCCGGCGCCTCACTGCCAGAGTCCTCTCCTGTCGCCTCTGTTCTGGGCTCACGAGCCTGAGTTCAGCTGGGGGCTCACGGGCCCCACCAAGTCCCCCCACCCATCTCAGCCCTGCCGAAGCCAGTCGGAGTGCCCTGAGGACCAGCCCTGGACCGTGGCTCCCAGGAAGACGGGCCCAGAAAGCCCTGCGGGGGAAGTTGGCTGAATAAAACGTGGACCTCCTCTGTGCTGTCTGCCAACTTTGGGTCTTTCATCTGTGGCCTCTCGGGACCATCCGTGACCCGTAGATGGAGGTGCAGAATGAGGAGGGGGCCTGGAAGGGGTCTTTGCAGGAGATGGGCCGGGGGGAAGGCAAGCGGTGGGGTCTGGAAGGCAGAAGCCGTGGCGAGGAGATGACAGAGGAGATAACACAGGCATGGGTCACCTCTTCCCATCCCTGGAGGCACAAGAGGAAGGAGGAAACGAAACTGAGGCGGTGGCTCCCAGGCCAGTGTGACCCAGCCCGCACCGCAGCCCTCCGCTCCCCTCTCCTGGGCTAGGGGCTGGGGGTGGCCACGCCCTCGCCTCCCCTTGGCCCGGTGCCCCTGGCGGCGCTATTCTTAGCTGCCCGGGTGTGAAGTAAGCCCCTGGGCAGCGATAGTGCGAGCAGAGTCAACAGGGCCACACGATAAGCTGCATCAGATCCCGAGGCGCTGGCGCCAGGCCCGGCCCCCTCCCTGGCCAGTGGGGTCGGCTCCTGCGCCCGGGGAATGGGGAAGTAGTTCTGGTTCCCTGACCCCTTCAGGCCCAGGCATGGTGCCTGCTGTCTCACCACGTACCCTGGGGCCTGGGCCCCCAAAGGTGGCTCCCTGAAGACCACCCTCAGCCCGGGCCTGAGCGGGAGCTGGTGTGGCAGGGGGGCTGGGAGCACCGGGCCAGGGACCTCCTCCCCTCAGGCACCCCTGCTCTGAGCCCCAGCGGAGCACCCTGGACCCTTCCCACCTGCTCCACCCAGCACAGAAACGAAAGGAATGGAAGGCAGAGATGTGCCCGGCATCACAGTTTATTGTTTATAAACCATGAAAATAACAGCTGTTGCTCGGCACAGGCCTGGCAGTGCCCACTGCAGGGAGGCGGCAGCGGGCCCCCGAGCCTTGCCTGGCCCACCCTGCTGGGGACACCCAACCCCAGCTGGGGCCCCAAGAGAGACTTGGCACATTGGCGTGGGTGCGGGACAGGGCGATGCATGCAAGGGAGAGACGGGGAAATACGGGCATGCGGCAGAGGGGCGTGGGGACCCCAACAAGTAAATGGGATGACGGGGTCTCCTCCCCTCACCAGGCGGCGCCGGGGCAGCGTCTGGCCAAAACAGCCTGCCCGCGCCAAGGCTGTAGTTCAGAACTGATGGGGCGGGGGGCTCGGCAGGGCAGGGCACAGACGGCAGACCGGGGGTCATGCCCAGAGCTCCAGGTGCCGCCCCTCCCGGGCAGCCCAGGGAGAGGGACGGGGAGGGGGCCCCTTCCATGACTTGGGGGAGATGCCAAGGGCAGGGGGCGGGGCAGAGGCTTGGCGGGGGCTGGGAGAACGGGGGACATCTAGGAAGGTGAGCAGAGGGCAGTGCCCTGGTGGAGAGAAGGCCCCAGGACTACGCAGATGTGGGGTCAGGGGCAGGAGGAGTGCGGGGAGGGGGACAGCTGTCAGAGATGCCCCGGCTCCAGCAGGCCCGGGGACCCGGGTCGGGCAGGCGGCACGGGTCAGTCCAGCTTGGCAAAGCCCCCGATGGTGACCTTCCTCTCGGGCTTGGCGCCCACGGGCTCCTGCAGCTGCACGGCCCCGCCCCCGATGAAGCAGAAGGCGGGGCACACGGGCCCCGAGCAGTCCAGGGGGCACTCCAGGAGCCCGCGGAAGGACACGGCGTCCAGGAAGGACACGCGGCCCCGCTCGTAGTCCAGGCAGATGCCCAGGCGGGGCGGCAGGGGCACGGTGCAGCTGCCCGCGGGGCCGTCCCGCCCCGTCAGCCCCGCCGTGGAGCCGGCGCCCGCCCCCAGCAGGATCTTGCCCATGCCGATGGTCAGGAACGCGAAGGGCGGCGAAGCCTCCACGGTGGCGTCCTCGGCTCCGCTGTCGTGTCCGCTGTCAGGGTCGTACCTGCGGGAGCCGGTGGGTGTTGGCAGCGGAGGGAGAAAGCGGGGCATGGGGGGGGGGTGAGGGCCAAGGGCTGAGATGGCAGACTGGATGGGATGTTGGGGAGTGAGTGGCCGAGAGGACCGATCGGGGCCGTGTCGCAAACGCAGGGGTCAGAAGGTGGGGCTGGGGGCCGAGGCCACCAGGAAAGCAGTGTTGAAGGAAGGGATGCTGGTGTCAGAGGCAGGGGAGAAGGAGGTGAGGACTGAGCCCCAGGAGCCAGGAAGGTGCTGAGGAGGGCAAGGGGGCGACGTGCTGGCAGGGGGCTCAGGGAAGGTTCGAGAGCGTTGAGAGGGCTCCGTGACTGAGGAGCTGGGGAGAGGAAGGCCGTCAGGGAGGCAGGTGTGGGAAGAGAGCTGGGGTGGAGGGTGCGGGCTGGGGTGCACTGCGGAGAAATGGGGTGTTTAGGGACAGAGTGCGGGGAGAAAGGGCTGGGGAGGCAGACGCGTGGGGGATGGTAATGGCGTTGGCAGGAGAGGGGGTGCAGGCGGAATGTTAAAGGCAGCGCTTCGGATGCTGAGAACAGATGCGGTGAAGGAGGTGCTGGGGAGGGTGGGTTTCGTGGACGCAGCAGGTGGAAAGGGGGGGTTGGGAGGTGCGGAGGTCGGACAGGTGGCGAGGAGGCCTGGGGGACAGCTGGAAGCAGGTGCACGGCCCCTCTCCTCACACCCCTTTCCACAGCCACACACCCCTCCAAAACCCAAGCCTCCACACCCTGCGGCCTCCCCCTGCCCCCCCCCCCGCCTGGCATCCCTGCCCCTAACTCCGCCTGCCACCCCCATCCTGTGCCCGGCTCCCCCGCCCCCGGGCCCCGCACCCCCTCCCTCCCAGAGGCCTGACCTGGGGCTGATCACGTCCGGGGCACCCTGGAAGCTCTCCTGAAGCTTGCTCTCCAGCCCGACGCCCACCTTGACCAAGTAGGAGGCTGGGTCCACCGCACAGGCCCAGTAGCTGCGGCCCTGGGTCACGGCCACGTCTCCCAGGACCACATCCACGCTCAGGTGGCAGCCCGTGAGCAGCCGCTCAGCGGCCAGCAGCAGGGGCAGCCCTGGAACACTGCGCACCGCCCGCTGGTCCTTGCTGATGGCCAGGCGCTCCCGGCTTGTGCCCCATCGGCCATCCAGGAAGAAGTGCAGGACTGCAGCGAGGGAGGTGACAGAGGAGGGACTTCAGGGACAGGACACGGGGGGGAGGGGGGTTCCAGGACGTGGAACAAGCTGCCAAGGCCCGGGCAGGGGCTCCAGGGACCAGGGCCTGGAGAACCACCATGGGTGGCATGAAGAGAAAAGAAAGGGGCATCCCAAATGGGCATGGGGCCCCAAAAGAGTTTTAGGGGTGACCAGTGAGCCCAGAAACCTGCCTTCCACACCCAGTTGGCCTGCAGCGCCTCCTCCTGGCCGTCTTCTATGGCCGTTCACCCCAGAGCCCCCACTACCACTCCGCCCCCCTCCCAGACCCACACCTTCCAGCCCACACTATGGTGCTCACACTCGGCCCGGACACCCCGCGTGGGTGGTGATGCTCCTGGATTCCACCTATGCCCCAGGAGCCAGACTGTTTTCTGGAGTCACTGTCCCCACACTTACTACTGGGAACTGACCTCACTGCCTTCTCGTGGCAATAATACTGCTATTGTGCCTACGGAGGAAGGACTTGAAGTTCAGAGAGGACAAGACTTCTCAAAGCCACAGCTGGCAAGAGGCAGAGCCGGGATCTGAATCCAGGTGGTCCAGCCCCAGAGCTGGTGAGCACGGCCCACTGTGACATCAGCGGCCCCTGCGTACCCCGCGCGCTTCGGAGGCCACACGGCCCCCACCCAGCATCCCCCGCGCTTCAGAGGCCACACGGCCCCCACCCGGCACCCCCCGCGCTTTGGAGGCTGCCCGGGGTCGCTCACCGGGCGCGGGGGGCGTGTGCAGGTGCACGTCCTCGCTGTACTCGCCGTAGCCGGCCTTGTTGCAGCCCCGCACGCGCAACACGTACACGGAGCCCGTGTCAGGGTTCTCAAGCAGGGCGCTGGTACCCCTCACCTCCTCCCGCCGCTGCCAGCGGGTGGGGCCCGGCTGGGCGGGCACATCGGTGCGCCGGAATTCGATGGTGTAGTGCCAGGCGGGCGGCGAGTGGGGGGGCAGTCGCCAGCACAGGAATATCTGGTCGTAGGCGAAGGTGCGCTGGGTGTCGATGACGGGAGCCTCGGGCACTGTGGGAAGAGATAGCGGGGGTCAGTGGGGGCCTGGTCACGGGCGTGGCGTGGAGGGTGGGCAAGGGAAGGGAAAGCAGCGGGGGGCCGGGGGGGTGAGTGTGGGTGAGGGGGATCTGAGGAGAAGGCTGTGTGGGGGCCGGGGGCCGGGCAGGGGCGGGCATGCACTGGGCAGGGGGTGTCATGCCCATCCCGCCTGCCCTTCTCTCGCTCTGGCCTTAGGTCAGTTGCTTCCCTTTTCTGGGCCTCAGTTTCCTCCTCTGTCAGAAAAGGTATTAGACCAGATGGGGACCCTTCTTTCTATGAACTTTTTTAGTCTACAAATAAAGGGGAGTCCAGGGAAAGGCAGGCAAAGGCCACTGGAACCCAGGCTACACAGGGCGCAGGTCAGGAGGAGGGGCAGGGCGGGAGGGGGACAGATGCGAGAGAGTCCGCACAGTGGAGAGCAGGGGACGGGGAGGGTGAGCGAGAGTGTGACAGCGGCAGGGTGGAGGCTGGAGGGGAAGAGGAGGCTAGTATAGGGGGCGAGGACTGGAGGCCGGGAGGCCAGAGGGAAGGGGCTGGGCGGGAGCCTGAGGCAGGCAGAGAGAGACAGAGGGCGCTGGGGGCACTGAGGCAGGGCAGAGGAGGAAGCGAGGGGCGGGGGCCGAGCTGTGTGGGGGCGGCAGGGCAGGGGCCCCGGGGCAGGGCCGCTGACTTGCCTGGGGTGCTCCGGAGCAGAGTCCGCGGTGGCCACAGCCTACAAACAAAGAGAGGGAGAAGCAGCGCTGAGCGCGGTGTGGCCGGGCTGGGGGGCGGCGGGGAGGGGCGGCTAGGCCGGGCTGGGCGGGAGGCCGGGACGACCCGGTGTGCGCTGCCCCCCCGGGCCCGCTGCTG